CCGCTGGGCCCCACCGGGACCACAATGCACCGCGTTTCCGCCGGAAGCGGCCGTCGACGCCGCCGCTGCAAGAACTTCCGCCAGTACTTCTGCCAGGCGCGGCTTCTGATTGGTCCAAACTCCACGGCAGGGCGGCTGTGCCGCCATCTTTATTGAGGGCAGTTCCGCCCGCTCCTCACAGCGCTCCGCGTTCCCTCCTAAATCCAGCCGGGAACGGCGCAATTAATCCGGCTGGCAATGGCGGGATTGAGCCTAAATCCCCCGGGATGGGCCCCAAATCCCCTGGGATGCAGCCAGAGCGCCCCAATCCTGCGGCTTTCCATAGACTGGGGCGGTACCGGTACGGTGTGAGGGGACGGTGACGTCACATCGCCCCGCCCCTTTCCCGGCTCCTCCTGAGGCGGCTCCGCCATTTTCCCGGGGCCGTTCCCCGGGGCCGGTTCCGGGCCGGGTCCGGCGCTTCCCCCGTGGCTCCTTCGCCACCGGAGCGCCCTCAAGGTGTCCCCAAGGTGTCCCCAGTGAGCATGGAGCCCCAAGAGGTGCGACAGTGAGGGGGGAGAGGATGACTGAGGGGGGACGGGGTCCTGAGGGGCGGGCGGGGGGTGGCAGCGGGGACAAGAGGCTGACAACGGCCCGGAGGGACAAAGGGGCCACGGCAGGAGGCCACAAAGCGCCACGGTGTCCCTGACACCTCCCCTGCCCCCTCCCCAGCTGTCCCCGGCCCTGCTGCAGCCGCAGGTGACCGTGGTGGCCACCCTGGGCGAGCTGCTGGCCGCCCTGCCCAGGAAGGACGAGATGCTGCTGGCGTCCCCGGGGTGCCCGCGCTGGCACCGGAGCTCCGGGCCACCCTGTCCCGCGCGGGTGGCACCTGCTGGCACCTGGTGACAGCCACGGTGAGGCTGTCACCTCCCTGAGGCAGGCCCTACAGGAGCGTGGCGCGGAGCTCGCGGAAGCGCGCGACGAGGGCGGCCGTCGTGCGGGGCGGTGGACGGGCTCGCAGACGGCTGGGCACGGCTGGCCAGAGAGGCCGCCGAGCTCTGCAGGGCCTGCGGGGACGCGGCCGCCGGGATGGACAGCGGGATGGACACGGGGATGGACACTGGGATGGACACCAATAGGGACACCGGGGTGGACACTGGGATGGACAGCGGGGGGGACACCAGGATGGACACCGAGGGGGACACTAGGATGGACACCAATAGGGGCACCAGGATGGACACCAGGATGGACACCAAAGGGGACACCAGGATGGACACCGAGGGGGACACCAGGATGGACACCAATAGGGACACCAGGATGGACACCAGGATGGACAGCAGGATGGACACCAAAGGGGGACGTCAAGATGGACACCAAGGGGGACACCAGGATGGAGACCAAGGGAGCACCAGGATGGACAACAGGATGGACACCAAGAGGGACACCAGAATGGACAGCGAGGGGGGCACCAGGATGGATATCAAGGGGGACACCGGGATGGACACCAAGGGGAACACCAGGATGGACACTAAGGGGGACATCAAGATGGACACCAAGGGGGATACTAGGATGGACACCAGGATGGACACCGAGGGGGACACCGGGATGGACACCAAGGGGAACACCAGGATGGACACTAAGGGGGACATCAAGATGGACACCAAGGGGGATACTAGGATGGACACCAGGATGGACACCGAGGGGGACACCGGGATGGACACCAAGGGGAACACCAGGATGGACACTAAGGGGGACATCAAGATGGACACCAAGGGGGATACTAGGATGGACACCAGGATGGACACCGAGGGGGACACCGGGATGGACACCAAGGGGAACACCAGGATGGACACTAAGGGGGACATCAAGATGGACACCAAGGGGGATACTAGGATGGACACCAGGATGGACACCGAGGGGGACACCGGGATGGACACCAAGGGGGACACCAGGATGGACACCAAGGGGAGCACCGGGATGGACAGCGGGATGGACACCAAGGAGGACACCGGGATGGACACCAAGGGGGACACCAGGATGGACACCAAGAGGGACACTGGTATGGACACCAAGGGGAACACCAGGATGGACACTAAGGGGGACATCAAGATGGACACCAAGGGGGATACCAGGATGGACACCAGGATGGACACCAAGGCGGCCACCAGCACCGCCTGGGCCAGGGAGCTGCAGGACGAGGCTGCCCATGATGGGACAGCTCAGGAAAACATGGTGGAGCTGGGTCAGGCCCTTGGCGGGGAGGAGGGGGCCGAGGTGGTGGCCGGGCATGAAGCCCAGGTGAGGAGAGAGCCCAGGGTGGCTGCCAGCGAGGTAACCAGGGCCACCATGGTGAGACAGCGGGTGGAGGTGGCCCTGGGGCTGCTGGAGCGCTTGGTGGCCGCGTGTGACGAAGCCACCGCCTTCCCCCGGGAGCTGCAGCTCAGGGTTGGGGACATCGAGGCCGCCCTGGAGGGGACAAATGAGGCATCCCCCGATGTCCCAAAAGTCTTGGTGGCCAAGGTGGCCGAGTTTGAGCGGCTGTGGGAGGCCAATGCCCGCCTGGCCAAGGATCACCTGCTGGGGACACTTGGGGACATCAACCCTCTCTTCTTCCGTTGTGACCCTGATGGCCCCAGTGGGCACGCAGTGGCCGAGAGGTGCCAAAAAGCCATCGAGGACATCCCGAGGCTGCTTCAGGACAGCGATGTCACCGCTGTGACATCATCGGGGCAGTGACATCATCGGGGACATCGCTGCTGTCACCTGTCCCCTCCCTGCTTGGGACTGGAGACAAACGTGGGGAATTTTGTGGGAATTTTCATTGAAACTGTCCCAAATCCTGATGGGAATTCCTGGGGTGACGTCACTGGGGACACTTGGGGACACTCTGGGGACACTCATGGATGAAGTGGTGGCTCAGGGGGTGAATGAGCCCCCTCGGTGCCTCGCAGCAGAGGCAGCTTTCTGCTGCCTTATTAATGAGAATATAATAATTAGCTTTTGTATTTTTCTGTTGGCTTTTGTATTTCTCTATTGTTTTTTGCATTTCTCTGTTGGCTTTTACGCGTTGTTATTGATCACAAGTATTTTGCTGTGGTATTTGATTATTGATAATTCCTTCTACCTGCTCATTAATTCGATAAAATCTCACTTTTCACGGACGCGTCCAAGGCCGTGCCAGCTTCCCGCCAGGATTTGGGAAGACACTCATGGATGAAGTGGTGGCTCAGGGGGTGAATGAGCCCCCTCGGTGCCTCGCAGCAGAGGCAGCTTTTTGCTGCTTTATTAATGAGAATATAATAATTAGCTTTTGTATTTTTCTATTGGCTTTTGTATTTCTCTATTGGTTTTTTTTATTTCTTTATTGGCTTTTACACGTTATTATTGATCACAAGTATTTTGCTGTGGTATTTGATTATTGATCATTCCTTCTACCTGCTCATTAGTTCGATAAAATCTCACTTTCCATGGACACGTCCAAGGCCGTGCCAGCTTCCCGCCAGGATTTGGGAATCCTTTCCCAAATCCGTTTCTCACATCCCTGAGCCCCTCCCAGTCCCGGCGCCGCTCCCAGGCGGAATTCACACGGAAATCGCTCGGATTGCGGAGATATCCAACGGCTCCGGGTTCCGCTTTGCAGGAGCTCCAGAATTCCATCGGCGCTGTCCGGAGCCTCAGGGCCGGGCACGGCTGCACATCCCTTCCAGGCCGGACACGGGGTCGCCGTTGAGTGGGGGGACGGCGACCCTCCAAAGCCCAGGGGAGAGGAGCACCCCAAGTGCTGCTGGCCACCCCCAGGTGCTGCCAAAGTGACGCCTTGAGGAGGCCGACCTGGAGCGGAGGCCTTTTACGCGTTGTTATTGATCACAAGTATTTTGCTGTGGTATTTGATTATTGATAATTCCTTCTACCTGCTCATTAATTCGATAAAATCTCACTTTTCACGGACGCGTCCAAGGCCGTGCCAGCTTCCCGCCAGGATTTGGGAATCCTTTCCCAAATCCATTTCTCACATCCCTGAGCCCCTCCCAGTCCCGGCGCCGCTCCCAGGCGGAATTCACACGGAAATCGCTCGGATTGCGGAGATATCCAACGGCTCCGGGTTCCGCTTTGCAGGAGCTCCAGAATTCCATCGGCGCTGTCCGGAGCCTCAGGGCCGGGCACGGCTGCACATCCCTTCCAGGCCGGACACGGGGTCGCCGTTGAGTGGGGGGACGGCGACCCTCCAAAGCCCAGGGGAGAGGAGCACCCCAAGTGCTGCTGGCCACCCCCAGGTGCTGCCAAAGTGACGCCTTGAGGAGGCCGACCTGGAGCGGAGGCCGGAGTTAAAGAATAACGCGGGGATTTATTAAAAAGCCTCCACGGATACACCTTGGGCAGGACAAGAGCCCAGCCAAAATTAACCCAAAACGGCCACGAGGTCTGTCACTTTTACAAGTTCTGGTCCATTTGCATATTGCAGTTAATTATCCAGCTTTAGATGATGAAGTCCCATCCTTGTTTTCTCTCTTCATTCTGCGTTTTTTACGCTCTCGAGTCTGAGATTTGGATTATTTGTCCTCGGTCCCCAGCTAGAAAAGGAATTGCTTTGTCTCGCTGCTCTGTGAAAAGAGCTCACCATCCCCGAATACGAAGCGCAGAACTGCAACTAAAGCAGCACAAATGGGAAAAACACAAAAGCTGAGGCCTGAGGCACCCAAAGGAGCCCGGACTCGCCGCTCCAGAGACGCCCTGCGGTGGCTGAGCTCCGTCCCCGTCCGTCTGTCCATCCCAGAAATGAGTTTTTCACCTTTGAGGCCGGTGCTGAGCATCCTGCGGTGGCTGAGCTGTGTCCCCGTCTGTCTGTCCATCCCACAAATGAGTTTGTCACCTTTGAGGCCGGTTCTGAGCGTCCTGTGGTGGCTGAGCTGTGTCCCCGTCCGTCTGTCCATCCCAGAAATGACTTTGTCACCTTTGAGGCCGATTCTGAGCTCCCTGCGGTGACTTCACGGCGCTGAGCTGTGTCCCCGTCCGTCTGTCCATCCCAGAAATGAGTTTGTCACCTTTGAGGCCGGTTCTGAGCGTCCTGTGGTGGCTGAGCTGTGTCCCCGTCCGTCTGTCCATCCCA